AAATTAAATTTTTATTTTGTATTTTGTGAGTTGTTTCAATTAAGAATTCTTTTTTGATTCTTTAATTGGATTGTCTATTCAATAAGTGCATTTCGAAAATCTACCTTAGCACATCAAGTGGCTAAAACTGTTGGTAAAACAATGGTTTATGGCATGTCACTAAGGAGATCGTAGAGTGTATCTTAAATTTGAATAGATAAGTGTTTGATTGATTGCATAAGATGCTGATGGTTTGTTGAAATCATTACCCTAGCACATCAAGCGGTTAAAACTGTTGGTAAAACAATAGTTTATGACGTGTCACTAGGGATTGATTCTCATATTCTGTCACGCTCTTTTCGGCAAGTAGTTTTAGACTCTGTAAGGTCCGTGCATCGACGAGTATATCTCCGATGGTGTAGCCAGCCTGTCTCTAACTCTGTCGACTCTCATATTGAACACACAATTCTATAAAATACTGATAGTTTATTGAAGTCATTACCCTAGCACATCAAGCGGTTAAAACTATTCGTAAAACAATAGTTTATGACGTGTCACTAGGGATTGGTTCTCATAATCTATCTGGTTATAATTTTTCTTATTGTAAAATATAAAGTAATACATATACTCAGACACCAAGTATAGAAAAGAATTACAGTGAAGTAATATTTCAATTTAATAATTTGCATAATTTTACAAAAATTAATAAGTAAATAAAAGTCAGTACTCTTTTATTTATATTCTTTTTACAACAAACGATCAAACTAGCTGGACACAAGGTAAGAAATTATATTTCTAAGCATGTCATAAAATTAAGGGTAGACTTAAGATAAATCAAGAATAACTTTTATCGAGGGAATAATAGAATTGTTAAAGGTGGATAATTTGAAAAGTTATTAATAACTACTTTCTCACCATTCGGGTCATAATAGTGCGCGTTCAACGTAGATGTTTTAACTTGTATTATACAATTACATAAAGAAAATAATTCAGCCATTAAGGCTTGGCGCCCAACAATTGGACAGTAGCATCTTACATGAACACACGCTGTTTCCCATTCATATAGCATGACCAATAAATATTAAGAGTCGTAAAATCCTCCTCCGTAATCATTGCACATTTCATTGTAGAATTAATATGACTCAGATGTGAATCATCCGAATATAATTTTCCTTCAATTTACTTTTTACGACAAACTACGTGCAGTGGTAGTATCTTAATAACGAGTTCATGGATATTTATATTGTATGCTATATTTTCACCTTGTAGCTAAATGTACTTCAATAATCCGTTGCCCATAACATCTATATATAATATCTACATTCTATTATTATTCCTCTTTCTTAATTATAAAAAAATATAAATATCACACATATGGCTGCTTATTTTATTTCCTTTATCATCCTTCATTATAATAATTTCTCTTCATTCGTTATGTTATTATAATTAATATCCATAACCTATTGCTATACTTTTATTTAATAACAAAACACCCTTATAACTTTTTACCATCTCTTTTTTTATAACCATCCATTTAATACTTTTTTTTTATGACAGATTTATATAATCCATTAAATGCATTAAAAACGTAAAATATAAAATCATATTTAATACTAATATTTTTCCAATGTCCCATATTCGATATTTNATAAATTAACAACTATTAAAAATATAATTAATAAATATTTCTTTAAGGTATTAGAGATATAAATATAATTATAATAATAACACAATAAAAATTTGAATCACATAAAATTGGTGCAGTTATATCAATATACTTAAAATATTCTAATAATATATTAAACTTCATTTAAAATTGCTCGATAATAAAAATAAGTAAATAACTTAGATTAATAGTTATTTATACGTAAAATATAAAATCATATTTAATATTAATATTTTTCCAATGTCCCATATTCGATATTTACTGTCGATATTAAACCGATGATAAAATATTTAAATAAATAAAAAATAAAAAAATACGCCACTTCTTATCATAATAATCAAACAGGATCGTCAGGATTAGTCATTATATATATTAATTGAAATGATTTGAAGTACTTATTTTGAAAATATTGATATTAATACAAACATTGGTCTGAGTGAACGATATATTTGTAATATACAAATAATAAAAATGTAGCACAGTGAGGTCGTGGAACAAGTATAGATGATATCTAACAGCAATTAACATCATAAAATGTAAAACTTTACAATTTCTGTTTTAAAATTTTATTCAAATATTAAATGCTTGTTAAATTATTTGTTTTTCGTGGGAACGTTTTATTATTTTCATTAAATAGTACTCTATTTTTTTTAATTTGGCGTCTGATTTTTAATAGTAGAAGAATCGTAGAATGGATTTTTTTTTTATATTATAGTACACTTCATTATCTTTAATTAGATCTAAAATAACAATTGTTAGTCATTCTGGAACATTTTCAAAAATTGAAAAAATTATTTTTACATGCGTAGGTGGTCTTCTTTAACCCTGTACTTTAGTTTTCATAAAAAGTATACTAAAAGAATAATTATTATCTCTAGATTTAACCGTTAAAATTATTTTCATGTGATCAATCTTTTTTCTCATAAAATGGTATTTTTCGATAAATAAGAAAATTACAAAAAAAAAAAATTGTAGTAAAAATTAACAGATTAATTATTCAAATTTAATAAAATAATGTCTATAAATTATGTATTTCAAAATTAATATAAAATGTATTTATTAATAGTTAAGTTGGACTTCTACCCCAAATAAAATTTTTTTTTTTTAATCCATACCAGAAATTGTGTGCTAAAATAAAAGAATGTAAAATAAAATATTATGTATTCAACAAAATAATTTCATGATTTATAAAAATTTTTTATTAACTTAAAACAGTATTTTTAATGAGTACAATATAGCATAAATCTATGAAAATTTTGTATTATCAATTAACGTATTCATTTGAATTTTGATTGGTAGTTCCTATTTTTTTATCTATTTTACTTGCATTATAAAATAGTTCATATTTGAATGAAAATATCCACTAAAAATTTAATTATTTGTTTAAATATAGTGCTCAACAGACTTGTTCTATTCATAATTATACTGCGTTTTTCTTTATTGTTATATCACGAAAAATAGAATGTAAAAGTTATAAAACCACTAATTGCTAAATTAATTTGAACATTTTATTCATCACATACTTCATACATATAAAATTATTATATGTAAATTATTTTTAAAATAGTCATGAAAAATTGGTCTTTTGAGTGAAACGAAATTTTCGAAAAACTTTCAAGACTTCAAAATAATAATAATTTTACTAATGCACATTTGAACAAATCCATAAATAAAAGCAGTAATTTAATGAAAATAATGTAAGTGCTCTAATTTAGGGTTGTTCTCAATATACAATTATATAATATAATGGATAAAGACAACAAAGCTAAAAAAGTTTTATTTTTGTAAATTTAGGGTCATAAATTTCTATTTGAGTTTAATAATTAGTATAATGTAACAAGCAATTACAAAAAATTTAATTACAATTCTATCAATTTCACATTCATTCGGGAATTACTTCAATGTTAATATAAAAATTATGAATCGTAATTTCAATTTTTAAATTGAATACAATTGAAGTTTAGATTAAATCTATTTCAGTGTAACATTTTATTATTTTAATTATATCAAACATTAATATATTTATTGATTTAAGTGTCATTGTATTTTTTGGCCAAAAAAAATAGTTTAAAAACAAGTATGGTAGTAATATGAGCTAATATTCGATACCTGAGCTTGTTTATTTAAATATAAGAAAAATGCCTTTCAAAATACCTTCAAAAATATTAAATATAATAATAATTTTATTTTTCTTAACAATAATGATATTTTGTTAAATTGTTTTACACTAAAAATTAATTTTCAGCTATTTTCTTATACTCTAATTTGTATCAATTTTTAACTTTCGCAATAATTATACAAACAACAATTTATAATAATAAATTAAGAAACAAAATAATATTTCTTCATACAAAAATTGTTAATTGTTTCTAAGAAAACAAATGTATTACACACAATTAATCACGCTGTATACATATGACAAATTAAACGAATAAGCGCTCATTTTATTTTTAAATCTGCATTTTTTTCATTATACAATGAAAGTACGATACTTTTGACTTTCATTTGTTGGTTATAATTTAAATACTAATTCAAATTCTAATAAAATAAACAATTGACGTCTAAAATTTATACCATAGAATGACTATCTCTTCAAGCACCTTAAGTGTTCTTATGCAGCTGGTTTAGTACTTTCTACGCATCGTTAAACATTATGCCTCCTACGATGGATATCTGTTTCGCCTTATTATTATATATTCTCACCTCTTGCGAATAACCGATTTCAGTCGTATTTCCTGAGTAGTTATTCTTTGATAATTTCAGTACATATAAGTATACTATTATTAAAACGTACCCATCATTTTGAGAATTACAGGTTATGGGATTGAAAATAATACAAGGTAGGAAAGGTTAAGCTAGTCAAAAGCCTATCTGTCAGAATCTTATTGACAACAAAATATGTCAATTGTTATAATCGATTATGAACAGTTTGTTTAGTTATTATGCGTGTTGTACTGTAACAGGAAACTTCAAGGTTTTTTATAATGTATATAACAAACAACGGACAACAATTCATATTTATCGAAACTTTAAAAGATATACTAACTAATTTATCAGTATTTTCAAATATTATTCATGTTAATATCTTATATTAAAATTCAATTGACGAAGTATTTTTGAAAGAAGTTACAGATACTTAAATAAGCTGGTCATGTATTTACAGCATAATAAATTCAAAAATTAATGTCACATAAAATTATAATTATTATTTGTTACGACTATATTTACTAAAAAAATATTATCGAATTAATTATTGCAACTTTATTAATGTCGTCATCAGTAACCGAAATAAAACACCTGAATCGTTATAAATAAGATAAATTTCCTATAAAATGAACTCCATTTTGACTTTTATACGTAATTTAAATTACTTTATGTTGTACAAATACAAACATATATTTTTGAAAAAAATTTATAACCTTAATTAATATAAATATTTTTTTTTGCTTTAAATATGTTCAAAAAAAATTTTCTTCTATTACTCTTTTTTATTTTTTTATCAACTGAACTTACAGGTAATTATTTTCTTTAATATTTCCTTATAAATATTGTATGTTTAGCACACAATAATCTGAAACAAACATTAAATTGTATTCATTTATATATCCCAATTAAAATGTTGAATTGGTTACTTATTTCAAATTTAATGAAAGAAATAAAATCTTTTATATAGTAGGTATATGGCAATATGTTTTCTAGACTTCTGATTTCAAATGTATAATCAATTTTTAAATTTTAAGGGATTTGAAGATTAGTAATTAAAATAAAATAGTATTTTTAATATACTGAAAAATCGTATTCAACTGTAAGTTTAAATAGTCGCCATAAAATTGTTATTAATAATAAATAATAAATATATGAGTAATTGTAAGAACATTTTCTTAGATATTTTAGACAAATATGTACAATTCGGTTGACACTTGGTTGTTGCTCATAATACTTTATACAATTTTATGTCTTATTAAAAATTAAATTTTTAAATATAATGAAAAAGTATAGCTTATGGTCAAATATTAAACAAAAATATGGTAGCTGTATCGAATAAAAAACAGTCTTTTAAACTCGGGGTACGAAGATCCCATATTTCCCCAAACATCATTTTTTTGTATTTTTATTGTAATAAATCATTTTAATATTANCTGTTCAGTAAATAAAATAACAGGTAACTATTATATATAAACAATATGAACAATAGAAACCAGTTTCATTTCTTACTAAACACTCTATATAAGTATTTTGGTTAATTTGATAAACTCTCTGTGCATAAAAATATAGATAAATATACACTAAAAATTTTCGAAAAGTTAAATAAATAACATTTTTTAGTAAATCTGACTCTTTACCAGCCTACCGGGGACGATTCAAAATAGTAACTTTTTCAGCTTAACTTTTGAAAATGTTTTGGAAATACTGTATCCTTTAAACAAATGTTAAATTAAAGATTATTTTACGTACTATAAATTAAAAATAAAACATTTTATCTCGAAGACTTATCTTCTATGTGTAAATGAATGCCGTAGTTAAAAAACACGCAATTTTTGTGTTCAAGTTTTATTTTTTTTTGTTTATTTTAAAATTTCTTACAATGATTTGCCATAGTAATGAGACCAACAAATTTTATAAAATTTACATTAATTTAATTTACATTAAATATAAATTTAAACTTATTTTGCTTATTTAAAGTTAAGAAAAGCGACTTTATATTTTTGAACTGGCTTAAATAGTACTTTTTAGCTACTTATTCGTGTAATGCATGGTAGCTGTATCGAATAAAAAACAGTCTTTTAAACTCGAAGTACGAAGATCCCATATTTCCCCAAACATCATTTTTTTGTATTTTTATTGTAATAAATCATTTTAATAAAAGTGTTAGTAATCATTTCTATGTAACTTTAGGTGTTTAAATAAATGCAAAAATTGAAATATTCAGAAACATATTCTGTATATTTACATAGTATTCTATAATATACTGATATTCAGAAATATTCCGTTGCGATCAATAGATTTTTTTTTTATAGATACATGAGGTATTTACTTATCATTTTGTATATATTTTTTGTAAACTTACCCATTTACCTGCACACAAAGGAGGATTCAAAATGACAAATTTTTCACAAAAAAATAACTTTTGAAAGTGTTCCGTTAATACTGACACTTATATATATATATCTTAAATTAAAGATAATGTTAATAAATTTATTATGGAAAAAAAAAATTTGAACTTTATTTTATGTTTGCGGTGAAAACGGACATTGAAAGTTATAAAAAAATACGATTTTTTTTTTTTAATTCTTTTTTATATTTTTAATTTTATAATGCTATAACTTTTTGAAAAATGTATAGATCAATACAATTTTTTTTATGATAAGTACAATTTATATACTTCTTTTATGAGACATGTTTTTTTTTTTTTTTACCGGACAATTTCCCTTTATACAGGATGGGTTCAAACTTAAAAATGCATATAGAAAACAGAACTTTTTCAACTTAATTTTCGAAAATGTTCCGGAAGTACGGACGCTTATATACAGGGTGATTTTTTTATCATAACCCATTCAATTACTTACAGAATAATAATAATTAAATTTTTTTTTTTTTTTATTATCTTTAGTTACACATTATTCTTGAATTATTAACTATGTAATACTTTTTAAGTTCATCCCTTGTACCTGGTAAGTGTGTCAACTTTGTTTTTTTAAATGGTAACACATATTTTGAATTTAATAAAATGTTTGAGTTTTTAATTTAATAACAAATGTCATTTGAATTTTTAATATAACTTTATTCGTTTATTAGATATAAACATTTAAAGTTTCAATTTTTTGAGTTAATATACATGTATAATACACTAGGGATTAAAACTACAGGTAGCTAATTGGTTTTTTATGACATCGATATTAGCAGGTACAAAGCATTGTTATTATCAATGGTAGTAAGACACATTGTTGTGAGTTTATAAATACACTAACTGACAATACAGAATGTATATCTATTGATAGTCATAATTGATAATAAACAATCCGTGACTGTGATAGCAATATCATAAAAAATCAATTAGCTACCTGTATTTGTAATCCCTTGTGTATTATACCTATATATTAACTCAAAAAATTGAAACTTTAAATGTTTATATCTAATAAACGAATAAAGTTATATTAAAAATTCAAATGACTTTTGTTATTAAATTAAAAACTCAAACATTTTATTAAATTCAAAATATGTGTTACCATTTAAAAAAATAAAGTTGACACCCTTACCAGGCATAAGGGATGAACTTTAAAAGTATTACATAGTTAATAATTCAAGAATAATGTGTAACTAAAGATAATAAAAAAAAAAAAAATTTAATTATTATTATTCTGTAAGTAATTGAATGGGTTATGATAAAAAAATCACCCTGTATATAAATCTTAAATTAAAGCTTATGTCATATACTTAAATATGAAAAAAAAAATTTTCGGACTTTATTTTGTTTTCATGGTGTATACAAACATCAAAATTAATAAAAAAAATACGATTCTAATAAAAAAGTATAATCTTAAATCATTTAATATTGATTTCATACTATATTTAATTGCTATAATAAATATTTATTCATATATTACACTTATAAATCATAAAACTTGTAATCAGGATATAAATAAGGAAATAGGAGATCATATTGTTAATGGAATAATCCACCAATTTTTAAAATTAAAGGTTATCTACAGATTTGTTTGAATTTAAGTTTTTTATGATAGTGATTTTAAATTATTGTCAAATATCATCTATACTGGACCCAACTATGCCAATTCCACATTCTGCTGCGACCCCACTGTGCTACCATTTATTTATATTCAAATCACTCTACATATCAAAAAATCTACATGTAATATAAATATAGTATATTTAATTTAAGCAGATTATTTGTAAAAGGAATCGCATAAAAAAATTACAAAATCATTTTTAACAGTTTAGATATAGAGGGTGATTTTTTATCAAAACCCACTTAATTACTTATAAAATAAATAATAGTAAATGGAATTGAATATTTAGTATATCTTTATTTGTTTATTAGATATTAACATTGAAAGTTTCAAATTTTTGAATCAATATTGATGTATAATACACAAGGGATTATAAATACAGATAGCTAATTGGTTTTGTATGAAGTCGTTGTCACAATCACGGATTGTTTTTTAACAATTATGACTATTAATAGATATACTTTCTGTATTGCTAGTTAGTGTATTTATAAACTCACAATGCACCTTACTGCCATTGATAATAAATGCTGTGTACCTGCAAATAACGATGTCATAAATAACCTGTAACGACACAAATTCGAAGGTGGACCGTTCATGATTTTTTTGTTATGTCTACTTTTATCTATTTTATCGCGCGAAAGAACCTTTTTCTGACACAGCGGTGTCAACCACTCATTATTTTGCCGCTGACCGCTAGATAAGGCGATAAAAGAGAATATAATTAAAATCGAATTGTTTATCAGTATTGATCCCTTCCAAAAAGACTGGCCGTTATCGATATGAAATTGCCGTTAGATCGGTATTGACTCTTCTCTATTTTAGCTTCGATGCGAAGCTGAGAAGGTATTGGTTTTACTAAGACGTGTTTTTTTTTTTTTTTTTTGTGTCTGTTACCACTTTTTCTCAGCTCTCACCGAACCGATTTCTTTCAATGATACGTCAAAAGATCACAAATCGTATCTAGTCGAAGACATTACCCTCAAAAATTGAAAAAAATTCCCTCGTTCCCCGTAAATGGGGGAAACCTCCAAAAAAATTACAAATTTAAAAATCGCTAATTTTCGAAATTTTTTCAATTTTTTTTACTAAAAACTGCCGTAACTTTTTTAAAAATAAACATATAAATATAATTCTTTTTTTTATAGATGCATGATGTCATTACCTATCATTTGGTATATTTTTTTTATAAATCTGACTTTTTACCTGCCCACAGGAGGAGATTTAAAATGACAACTTTTTTACAAAAAATTAATTTTTTGAACTTAACTTTTAAAAGTGTTCCGGAAGGTCTGACACTTTTATATATATCTTAAATTAAAGCTAATGTAATATAATTTATTATGAAAAAAAAAAATTTCGGACTTTGTTTTATCTTCATGGTGAAAACGGCTACCGAATGCTATTTTTGTGTGAAAATTTTCGATTTTGTATTTTACATTTTTAACTTTATTATGCTATGACTTTTTGAAAAATGTATGGATCAATATAATTCTTTTTTATGTAGATGCATGATGTCTTTACCTATCATTTGGTATATTTTATTTATAAATCTGACTTTTTACCTGCCCACAGGGGGGAATTTAAATTAACAGTTTTTTTACAAAAAAATTTACTTTTTCAACTTAATTTTTGAAAATGTTCCGGAAATACTGATACTTTTATATATATCTTAAATTAAAGCTAATGTAATTTACTTTATTTTGCAAAAAAAAAAATTCGGACTTTAGTTTATATTCACGGTGAAAATGGCTACCAAATGCTATTACTGT